TGGAAGGAATGGTGCTGCATCTTTGGGGCTGGAGGAAAGAATACTGCCCCATCGCTGATGTTAGTGGAACGAATGGTGCCTCAACATTATTGTCAGTGGAAGGAATAGTGCCTGTGTCAGTGGAAGGAATGGTGTCCCAAGGGCTGGATAAAGGCAAGAAAAGGGCTACATCTAGCCCAGGGGTCAGAGTTTGGAGACCACTGTTCTATCAGTGAATAATGACTAAATTAAAGGATCTTATTTGGCTTATGTTACATGGCATTCTAAAAGATGCATATATTTGGAAATGTGTGCAACCAAGTCCTTAGTTTTTTTAACTAGAATGAAATTAGAAAGACTCTCCTTACTAAGTGGCATGACATGTGTTAGGGAAACTTTTATTATGGTGCCCCACCTACTGTGGAATGCCCTAGTTTTACAAATTGAACAAGCACTTGCCACTATTCCTGTCTGATGTTAAACTGGTGCCAGAACCAGGGGTGGACTGACCATTCGAGCACTCGGGCACTGCCTGAGGGCCCGGGGTTAGTAGGGGGCCCCATGAAATGCCCCAGGTACCTTTTTATAGGCTTTTTTTGAGTGTGGGCAAGGACATAGGGGCCCCATGATCCCCTATTGCCCGGGGGCCCCTTGAGTTGTTAGTCCGCCCGTGGCCAGAACCAATACATATGATGTTTATTTTTGTAAGTTCAGCAGTACAATAACTTTTCAATATGCTTTTGTCCAACTCCTGCCTGAGAGCCATCTCATACACACATTTTATTTTCAGCTATGCTATAACTTTGCTTGTATTTACTCTTGCTAATCTCTTAGACATTAGAAAGTGAACATTTGTGTTTTTTTTAGATAAAATGGGGGAAGGTTATAATCTGTACTGAGTTTTTCTAGCTGTCTCTGTCTACTCTGGAGAGCTTTCCCCAATGGGAGCATAGACAGCACTGGTCACTGGGACAGAGGAAATATTTTCAACAGTGAAACAGACAACTATACAAACATTTTTTGTTTTTTGTTTTTTTTTTGTGGGGAAGAATGAGACCCTCTGTAAGGTTTTTACAGAGGTATATCTGTGAAACAATGGTCATTGGGACAGGAAACAAGAAGAAATCTCACAAATGGAAACACAAACAACAGTACACTTCAAAGAGGTTCTACCCCTACCCATTTTATCCAAAACTAAAATAAAAAATGTTACTTTTGTTCTTCATGTGAGCTTGAAATCTTTGCTCCAATTTGGAATTTGTAATATTGAGACATATTACAAATGACAATAAGTGCAGTGAATTATGATATCCTGAACATTACAAGCCAAGTGTTATCTTCTTCACTTAAAGCAACAAGTCTCAAAAAAATCCTAAAGCCAGTTTCTTGCAGTAGATGAAGTATTGAAGTATAGTGGCTCAAGTATCTTACTTTTTTTCTTTTCAAGCAATGCGGCCTCCATAAGACTCATAATGCCTCTGGGAATGTCTGATGCCTTTGTCTCCCCAGACTTCCATATCTCTGTAGGAGACAGCAGTGACATCAGGGACAGAGGATGGAACCACATTGCATGGTGGTAGACCTGCTGGAAGGTTTCCAATGCCAAAAAGTCTTACAGAAAGTGCATCACAGATGAAAGAAAGGAGACACGGGTCACTGGAGAAGTGATTGTAACACTTCTTCTTTTGCAGGGAACAGACTTTAGGATTTTTTAGACTTTACTGTGTACCTTTAACAGAAATGCCCCCCAACAAATGTACCTAAAATAAAGCAAATAAAAGAGCTCTTCAGCACAGACAGTAAAGTATTTGCGCCGTGACACTTTATAAATACACAAAAACATCCTTATTGACTAGACTAATTCAGAATGACTTGTATTGTTTATAGCACGGGTAGGCTGTGTGGCTGCTTGCTTTCACTCATCTTCTAAGATTAACCATTTCTTGCTTGATGTTGTATTTACATATGAAAATGTCATCTAATTATTATAGGTAAGAGGTTTCAGCTTGATAGCAAGAACCACATAATAAAAATGTCTGCCAACATTTTGTGTTTTATCTCTGCGATTGCACACTGTCATCAATATGCTCCCACTCCCTCTTCTGTTATAATTGGTGAGAAATTTGCATTACCCTCCCAATTTTTTTTTCCTATTCTCCCACTGTTTTTCTGCCATTCTCCACTTTCACATTTCAGATGCTTTCCACCTGTTACAGACAGCCTTTCTCTAGCAGAGAGAACTGCAAATTGCTTGTTAATATAAACCCGCTAGCAAAGAGAAATCCGTGAGAAAAGCAGGAAAATTAATGCCACATTGCAAGCAGCACTCTAAATTCTATTTTCTCATTCTAGTAGTTCAGTGATAGGGTCAGTACTATATGGTAGCTGTGTAGCCTAATGACACAGTTGTGGTATATTAGTAAATGGGTGAAACTGCCAATCTGGAAAAAAACGTCTAATGGCACTGATAAGATTTCACCAGTTGAAAGATTTTTCCAGTGGAGCTCAATCAACATGGCTTCTTTGTTGTATCGTAATCCAGTTGGGACATTATATGAATGATTCTAATTCACATTTCCGTTGGATACATGCAGCAATAAGTCATCCTCTAGTCAGCCTCTATGCTTTCATCCCTTACAATCCTCTGATTTTCCTATATATATATATATATATATATATATATATATATATATATAAAATATATATATATATATATTTATAATATATATATATTTATATATATATATATATATATATATATATATATGTGTGTGTGTGTATACTGTATATATACTGTATATATGCTACCACCCTTTCCAGAGTTCTAGGTACCAAGTTAGATGTATTAGTTACTACAAAATGTTGGCTGTGCTTTTGCAAATGAATCTGAACTCAGTGCGGGAGTTTTCCCCGGAGCATAGTGAATGTGGTAAAATTCCAGTTTGCAAAGATTACCCAATCACTTGCAAGAAAAATGCAAGAAAATGAAATGCTTTTTCTCATTTGTTAAGCTCTGTGGAAAGTTCTCTTGCAGAGTGCAACTGTACTTGCAAAGTGAACAGCCTATTTGCCTTTGGCAAATCAACCCTAATGTTGTCTTGCCATTCTATTCAATAAATGGCTGTATTTCCATTGTTTACATATGAAAAAGTGGAAAAAGGTGCTTTTTCAATATGGCTTGCCATATATTTTTTCATGTATGAGTCACATAAGATGCAATGCCAATGTCTACAGATGTTCTTGGATGAAAAAAAAACTGCAATGCAGTGATATGTGTTGTAGATTTGCTAGGAGTAAAAGATAAAATCACTTCTGTCAATGGATTTATAGAAATCATAAAGTGGGCCTATGCTGAGATGCTTAACATTAAACTATGTTACTGGTATTGTTGGGATGGTGTAATAAATAGTGATCAACAAAGGTCTGAAATGTGTACATTTCCTTCTGGAAATGCTACTGAAATTTCCCTTCAATGCTTGCTACATGTCTGAAAGCCAAGTCACTAGGTCATGTGATCATTTGACCCATAATTCACATTTGCCAATCTTCTCCCTTAGCAGAGATCATGCGACTAGCACAAAAGGGAACTTGTAATAGAACTTTCTCCAGGAAACAGTTTCAGTTCTTGTGTAATTCTTATTATATCCATCCCAATAAGACTGTCAAAATATCTTTCTCCAGGAAACGTTTCAGCCCTTCTGTAATTCTTTTTATATCCATCCCAACAACACTGTCAAAATACTTTTATGTTAACATTTCTGTTTAGGTTCACTTTTGATATAGACTGTATGTGTCAGTTATAGTATAATTCACATTGTGGCTCCAAATGACTTCCTGAGCAAACAAAAAGTTTTTAACATTCCTTTAAAAAACTTCACCTACAGTATGGATTCTACAGAATGGGTTTTTATAAATTATTTGCTGCTATATATAGTTTTTCAGTGCACCAGTGCAGAATTCTTCCACAAATATGGAAACAATCCAAGCTCACTCTAAAAATCTGCAACAAAATGTTATATAATGGAAATTTCATTTGTACTTTCTGGATTCCTCCTGTTCATAAAGACTGCCTTTTCAGATTAATGAGAGGGCCTGTAATGCATTGTCAACGAGACTGTCATTCCCTGCCTAATTAACCAACACATGATTCTTCTGGTTAGCTGGAGTATATGATACATTGGGATACTGAACACGCATATATTACCATCACACGCTACAGATGTCTGCTGAAGGATTTGAGTGTCAGTAAGGGTTTCCACAGAGACTAGATAAAAAAGTCTATTGTATGTAAAGTCTATCATAAGTAACATGTCAATTTACAACTATTTTTATGTCATTCAGTTCAAATCAATATTTTGGAAATTAATGAAAGTTCACTTTAAATCTATGACAACAGATTTGCCGTAGAATTGAAAAAAAAAATCTCTCATCTGCACAATTATTTGCCTCTGTTTTATCATTTATTTCCACTAGTGATAAAACAATTTGTAAAAAAAAAAAAAAAAAAAAAAAAAAAAAAAAGACCTTGCAGAGAAAAAAAATATATACGTTCTATTGGTGACAGACGTTACAAATATTCATTGCACCATGTCTTCATTTTCACCCTGAATTTAACAGAAGGGAAAAAGAAAACGAAAAAAAGAAACCCTCAGGTTATATGCAAATCGTATCCAAGTGCTTCCATCTCTCTGAATTTATCTCCTTGTTCTACAATGATTTAAACTGCTGTATTAAATGTAATCAAGTTCTCTCACAACCCTTTCAACTACTACTCTGTTTTTTTTTCTTCTTTTTTTTTCTCAAGTTTTTCCATATGAATGTTGGTATTTTTACTTTCCTACAAAATATCCCATGGAGTCTCGTTTCCTGCTTTTTTTTTTTAATCTCATAGCTGAAGTTTATTTCATTTCTATTTATTTAACTTGCACTTTCTGTCATGAATCGTTTGTGGGCACCAGGAAAAAAAAACGAGATTTTGCTATGGGAAGGTATCTGGTAAGTCCAAAAAAAATAATGATTCATCATGTGTAAGAATAGTCTGTGTCAGGGATACCAGCATCTCTATATCCCCTGTGAGTGCCATAACCTATCGTATGGGTACTTTTGTACAGACTGGTGCCATTAGATGGAAATATGGTATGGATCACATACTCCTCCTTGGCTCTGTGGGGATTTATTGGTAACATTTGAAGCCCTGGTCCTCTGATCTCCAATATAGAATTATCTTTCTTGGTGCCAGACTCAATGTAATCGTCTTTCTTTCTGCTGCCACGGCTGCAGGCTCTTTCTCGAGTTAATAGTTGTCCAGCTCGATGGACATACCAGCAAATAGATGCCAAGATGAGAAAAAGGAAAACAAGGGTGACGGCACCTCCTATAATGCCTGCCAAAGGTAATCCAGCAAGGGGGTCTGCATTTTGCTCTCGATTAAGTGTAGTGGTAGGGCCATAAACATCCCCTGTTTCTGCCTTAGCACATACAGGGGATTCATCTGCAAAGTAGGTGTTGCCTGTTTCCATGGTTACCATACAAATTATGTAGGTAGATCTGGGCTCCAGAGCAGTTAGCAAATACTCTGTCTTGTCTCCTTGAACTAATGTTTCTGTGATAGATCCAACAGCTGGGCTGTGTCCTAGTCTCAGCCAACTCAACCGGAAGGAACTGGCTGGAACAGATGACTTCCAGGTGATGCGAATGCTATCGGCCGTCAGTGGCTTGACACTGATCACCAAAGATTTAGTGGCTGCCCCATTCTCCATAGGGTAATCCAAGTTTGAATCTGGGAGCCGAATACCTGGTCTTTTGGATTTAAGTGTAAAAAGGGAACCTTGGGGTGGAGTAGTGAGTGAAGGAAGTGCAGGAGTTGCATGTGCAGAGGCTGCATTGTTTTGGGGACCTCCTTCAAAGCACTCATCCATCTCATGTGTGATGTCTTTGATTGCCATTCCCCTGACTTTCTCAGGGCCCTGACACATCAGGCCACGCACATTTACCACAGTAGCCCTAGCTTTCACCCAGTCCCGTAGCCACATAAGACTGCAGCCACAATACCAGGGATTATTCCTGAGGAGCAGCTGGCTCAGATTCTCTAGGTCATCAAAAAGGCCACGGGGGAGAGCAGTAAGGTTATTATTAGAGAGGTCCAGTCTCTGTAGTTGTTTCATTTTAGACAGAGTGTTGTAGGGTATATGGGTGATAGCATTGTCCTGCAAATAAAGCTTCTGAAGGTGTGCACTTGGCAAATTTAGAGGTGGCGCTGCTAGTGAATTTCTGACTAGAGACAGCTCAGTCAAATTTTGAAGTCGACTGAATGTGTCATCTGCAATGCGTTGATTAGCCAGTAGGTTTCCATCAAGTACTAACCTCCTCAAATTAGCGAGTCCTTTAAAAGCATGAAGTGGGATAGTTGAAATGCGATTATCATCCAATCTCAGCTCTTCCAAAGTGTGCGGTAAGCCATTAGGAATGCTGCTGAGATGGTTGCGTGAAAGAAAAAGTAGCCGAAGTTGACGGGTATCTAAGAAGGCATCATCTTCGATGCTGACAGTTGAGACAGAGTTATCATCTAGGTGAAGCTTTTCAATAAGTGGTATCCGAGAAAGGGCATCCCGTGTAACACTGCGAATGTTGTTGTCTTGAAGGTGGAGCTCTCTCAATGACCGAGGAAGATTTAGTGGGAATTCATCTAAGTCATTCTCATACAAGTAGATTACTCGAACGTTGGTCTTTGTTTTCAGCTCTGGTGGTACCCCAGCATTGTTTATCTGATTATTCTGGAGGTAGAGGGTGGTTGCATCATCTGGAATCTCTGCTGGAATGGAGGTCAGACCTCGGTCATTACAGTAGATGAAGCCATTGTCACAGCGGCATACATAAGGACAGTTAGTGCTATCTATTACCTCTGTCAAAAATGCAATAAGTCCATAACACAGAAAAAGCCAATCACGCAAGTCCAAAGTAGCAGTGGTCATGGCAACGTGGTAGCAGTTGCTGTTGTGGTAGCCACAGCAGAGGCAGTTGCTGCCGTGGCTGTAGTAGTTGTGGTGACCACCATGTTGTAGTGGTTTTTTCTTAGTCAAGGCTGTATTTTAACAATCTGATGAATTTGAATATTATCCTGCAAGAAAAAAAAAAAAAATTAGAATCTTACATAAAATAAGTGAATTAAAACCAAATGATTGTTTGCACATAATCTGTAGTATATTTAATTCCATCATGCCATTGTTCTAACATTGTTATACACTGTATGTATTATCTTTTTATAACTAATACTTCAGTTCCATGTAAATTAAAATCCATATAGATGTGAGAAGAAAGTTGTAAGACCTAGGTTTAAAAACATAATTTTTAAACTGAACATGGCATAATCATGGCTGTGTCAGCTGAACATGCATGTTTGACTTGGTGGAAGAATCTATTCCAGCCAATCGATTTCTTTACTAAGGAACTCTGCCAGAGGTTGTCAAGTCATTATAGTCATATGGTTTTTCATAAATCAAGCATAATTGACTGGATTGTGTGTAGATCATCTATTGTTTTTGTACCTTTTGCAGCTCAGGTTAGCTTAGCTAAAGCATCCTTACATTGTCTATTTCTTTAAGGTAGACTGCGGTGTGATATTAGGAAGTCATAACTTGCTAATATGATGAAGACAAGATTTATGTTACCTTCTGAGAAAATACCCAGTATAAGTGGACTACTCTCCTCCTTTGTCATCTACATTTTTCATTAGATTGTAAGCTCTGTGAGAAGGGATTCCCCAGGAGCAGTTATCCTTATTATATCTCTTTGCTCTGTATGCACATTACATTGTCCGTGTGAATCACAGCGGCCGTGTTTTGCTCCGCATAAAAGCAAATTAATAAGTGAGGAGAAGCAGAAGATGAAGTGATTATAATGTGTGAGGAAGTTCTGAGAGTGATTTTTAAGCGCATGATTGTAAAAGCAAGTCCATCTTTTGACTTACATAATAGCTTCTCAAAGCCATCTCAGCTGGGAGATTAGAGCCTGCGTCACCAGCATTATGATGGAAATCACATTCTGATAATGATTGAGCCCTTCTTGGGCCCTCTGAGATCTGCATAATATAACTCTCTTCACAATACACTGGTACTTTGCCAAACTTTAACAAAATCAGCCTAAACTCTGTTTATTTAGGGGGTTAACAGCTCAATACCCTTTGAATGGAAACCATATTTAACACTTTAATTGTCACGCTGATAAGAAAACACTACAATTTGATTAACTTCTTTCAAATTAGCTACAGCAGTGCTAAAACACTGTAGACGAGGTTTAGGAATATGTATGAAAACTTTTGCTGGTTGACATTACTGGTACTTTGAGGATGGATACCTAAAAACTGGAGAAAAAGAAAATGGAAGTGTTGCCCTTAGCAGATAATCTCAACAGAAGTGATTTTTCTAGTGCAGACTTGACTGCTAGTGGTTAGCATGAGCTGTCTTTCTTCTTTCTCCAACCATCCTTCTTAACCTATACAGTATATATAGACTCACCGGCCACTTTATTAGGTACACCTGTTCAATTGCTTGGTAACGCAAATTGCTAATCAGCCAATCACATGGCAGCAACTCAATGCATTTAGGCATCTAGATGTTGTGACGATGACTTGCCTCATTCAAACCGAACATCAGAATGGGGAAGAAAGAAGATTTAAGTGACTTTGAACATGGCATGGTTGTTAATGCCAGGCAAGCTGTTCTGAATATTTCAAAAACTGCTGATCTACTGGGATTATCACACACAATCATCTCTAGGGTTTACAGAGAATGGTCCCAAAAAGAGAAAATAACCAGTGAGCAGCAGTTGTGTGGACGAAAATGCCTTGTTGATGTCAAAGGCCATTCATTTTTTTTTTTTATAATTAACAGTTTTTATTGATTTTCATATGTACCATTCATTTTTATTGTTTTCAATAAGAAAGTACAAGAATACACAATATTGGGACATAAGGCAAAAGAATTGCTTCAAACATAAGCAAATGTACACAAAATAGGTATGGCTATCGTATGCAAGTGTTTTCAAACTCAAGCAGCTTCTCACCCTCAAATTCAAAATAGTGATGGGTAGCAGTTTGTGGAATGGAACTCTGGTACCCTTTGAGACCAAGTTGACTCACCAGTTTCTCGATAGATTAATTTATACCACGTTATGACCATATAACCAAAATCAAGGAAAAGGAAAGGAGAGGGAAAAGTAACATAGTGCAAGAGGAAGAAGAAGAGGAGGAAAAAAAAAAGATGAGTCACCATATTCAGCCAATGGATTATTAGCCATCGTTCCAGTCTCAAAGAGTCTCAAAGAGATATTTGATCCAAGAATCCCATGTTTTGTCAAAGAAGGCCAACTTATCATTCAACAGCGCTGAAAGCCTTTCGTTAGCCATAATCCAGGACAACTTGGCCTTTAACAACACAATAGGGATTGTGGAATCTAGCAATTGAAATTCATATAAGCAATTTTCAATAAAAAGACCACATTTTTAAAAAAAATTTCTCTTGATAAGGCCTTTGACAATGCACAAAAACTGATGTCTGGTACACAATATAAAGTAACTGTACACATTACAGAGCTTTTCTGTTCATTGTAAAACACTATGGAACAAATCATTTCCATTCTATCTTTTGCTTTATCATGTTATAGCGTTCAGTTTAGTCCTTTTTAATATTTCTAACTAGCAAGCTTTGACATAATAACACATTAAAGTGTGATGCAGTGCCCTGATCTTGAGTTTAGATCCCACCACTGACACCAGTTGCATGAAATTTGTCTTCTGATTCTTCCCAACCCGACCCCCCTCCTCTTCCCCCCCTCCTTTTATTTTTTGTTGTTCTTCCCCCTTTTTTATTATTTCCCCCCCCCCCGTTCATATGGTATAACTTTACTTCCTCTATTATGATTCCCCTATGCTACATTGGGGAGCGTGCATATCTATTTGTCAAAACTTTGTATGTACCAAAGTTAATGGCTTCTCTCATCTTCTATTCCCTAAAACTGTTACTTTATCACTACAACTGCCATCCCCTCCCCTTTCTTGTAAAGCCTTTGTTGTCATTGATGCCAATTTTTGTACTTATGCAATTTTCTGTATAAGAAATGTATATCCCCATTGTCCCTTCTTTTCCCTTTTTCCTTCTTTTTGAAATTAATAAAATCTTTGAACAAGAAATTTGCTTCTGATTGTGTAAACTGGTTTCCTCTTACAACTCAAAACCACATTGATAGATTAACAGTCTCTCTTCAAAAAAGGGGAATTGATTTACTAAAACTGGAGAGTGAAAAATCTGGTGCAGCTCTGCATGGTAGCCAATCAGCTTCTAACTTCAGCTTGACTAATTAAGCTTTGACAACAAAACCTTGACACTGATTGGTTTCTATGCAGAGCTGCACCACATTTTGCACTCTTGATCTGAGTATTCAAGTTTACGCTAGCATACACACACATGCACTTTCCATCACCAGTACAATACATGAGATACACATAGAATGCTGGTGCATTTGGTAAGAAAAAGGGGCATAAACTCACTCCAGAACAAATAGAGAGTGTGTACCAAGTTATTGTAATCACCCTTAAGGGTGGGCACATAGGCGTAAACACAATGCTTTAATAGCTGTAATAAAATTACAACATAGAAACACTGTTAAACCAAATATATAAGAGCATCTGCAAATATCCTGATTGGCACGATTAAATCAATTCCATCACTAATGTAGTCATAAATATGTGGTAAATGGTAAAGTGGCAGATGAAATCTACATAATAAGTATATAGACATTCAGAGATCATCAAAATGCAAGTAACCTATATAGGAGAAAGAAAAGGTGTGCAGTATGAAATAAGGTAAAAATGGGAAAAGAGGGGAAAAAAGAAAAAAATTGGGGGGAGGGGTGGATGGGAGAGCTTGGGACCCGAGCACTATGGAGGAACGAAGCCAGGGCGACTAGTCTAGCTGAGACCGGCAGATAGTAGAGCCCAGTGGAAGGAAGAGGACTGGTAATGAATTGCCCCATGTACATGAGAGGTACATTTTGGAGAATGTTGGGAGTGACACTCTCCAGTTTTAGTAAATTAACCCTATAATGTCTGTAGAAGTGGCATTAGTAAGATTGCAGGTAATGAGTTAATGCCTCATGGCATCATCACCATTACCTCTTCAAATATGTAGGATTGTAGAACATAACATTGGATGTTAAATGTGTGACCCAAAGATGAAACTTGTTGGACTTTATTCTTTACATATCACATCAACATATACATGTTCTACTAATTTATGGGTAGGGGATGGCATTAATATTCAGCCAAAAACATCTATCATGGATTTTGCTATTTTCCCTGGAATCAGTTAAATGTGAAATCCTGGTACCATCTGCTGCACATAGGGTTCTTCATCCGATCAGCTGAAATTGGCCATGTTGACTAGCAATCATCTCACGTCCATGGCTAAGATTAAGACAAAAACGTTGACCACTCAATGAACCAGGTCTTACTAGAAACACAGTTATATATTAGTATGGGTTGACAGCTAGGTGATAGCACAAAGGCCCAATGTAATAGAAAAAAAAAGAAATATGTAGGTATAAGGAACCCACGTAAGTGTGCAAAATGTGTATAGCCTTCTCCAAATAAAGAACTAGGATTCCATGGGAATTACAGCAGGGCTACTATCAATCAATATAAAACCAACAAATGCTAATATAATGCCTCCTTCACAAGGCTTCAATGTTTAATCCATATATATATATATATATATATATATATATATATATATATATTAGTGTATTTAGTTCATGTGCAATATGAGGCAATAGGTAATATTTAAATCAGTCACCCCCCACCCCATCAGCACCCCCTGGGCTCCCAGAGCCCATCACCGCAATACCCCCCATTGCCCTGCCACCCCCACCAACCGCTACCGTTGACCAACACAAATCTAATCTACCCCCCGCACCCTGGGACCACCTGATTCATGGATTTACCTTAACATCCACAATGAAAGAAGCAGCCAACCATTCCCGCACCCTCCAGCAACATGCACC